CGTGCCAACGTGCGACTATATATATTTAATCGGGAAAAATCTTTGGGACCACCTCTCGACCGGGGTGAAAACCCTAGTCCCGAGAAAACACAAAAATCTCTTTGTCCCCCTTTCTTTCTTCTTCTTCCTCGTTCCTTTTCTTCTCTTAATCATTATTTTTCATTTTTCTTCTTCTTTTTCTTAGTTAGGGATTAAGCTTGTAATTCAAAGTCAACATTTGAACTTGGATTGATTGTAAGTATTTCTTTCTCTTGTTTAATTCATGAATAATGGTTGACTTGAGTAGAATGATTATATTTGTTGAATTTGATTTACGTAGCTAATTCCTTCTGCTAGGGATAAGGGATGATTGTTCTTGATTAATTTCGTTATTGTCGGGCTTAAGATTGTTCATGCTTATGTGAGTTGAATTAATTCAGAATTGATGAATTTGTGCTTGATTGATTGATATAATTGAAGAGTGACACTTCGATCTTGCGATTGGAAACAATTGAATGTTAATTTATCGAGCTAGGGTTTGTCAGTTCTATATGACTAGTGTGTGGCCCGTGCCATGCACGGTAAAACAATATTACGATTGTATTATAAATTAAATATATAAATAACATTAATCATGATTTATCCATTGTTTTTAAATGAAACCGGGTTGGACACAGTCCGACTGGATGGACCGAGAACCGGTTTATAACCAGTCTAGGTCGCTTGAATAAAATATTTGCTCTCGAATCCGTCAACACCGGTCGGTTGGACTGGTAGGATCGATACGATTTTCTACATAAATTTTGTTATATTTAAAACTATTTTAAATAAATAGCGATTTATGAATTATTTATCAATTAGTTTAAATTGTTTAGATATCTAAGTAACACATTTTATTTATTTATTACAAAAAGTAATATATATATACATTTAATATATATATATATATTAAATTAAAATTTGAATAAACCACAAATGATTTAATAAAATAGCTTGATCGTTTCGATGACCGTCCAGCTCTTAAAACCTTATATTTACTGTACATTAATAAATACTGTTTAATTCACATAAATATTAATAAAATGATATATAAATATTCATAAATCACTAAACATGTTGTCATAATATTGTTAATACGATTATTTGATGTTTGGACTACATCACATTCACGTAATAAAAAATTTTCAATATTAAATTTATATTTAGGTTCAATAATCGATTTGGTGTGGTCGAACTGATACATAACTTAGTCACCTATGACGAACCAAGTTGTGTCAAGTTTGTTTACTATTTTAAATATTACCTAAAAGTAATTCAATCAACATGGACAGTACCCTAATTCATCACCCGATTGATCTAAAGAAATTTTCTTATATTCTTTAAATATATTTAATTTTATGAAATAAAAATTTTTTATGATTCATATAATAAATGTTTACACCAAATGATAGTATATTAAGACTGTAAATTATATATCTAAAGATGAATTCATTATTTTTACTTTATGCATATTAATAAAAAACAAACATAGTTATTTTCAAAAAATTAAGATTAATAGATTGATTATGCAATTTAAAGAATATTTTTAGCGTTCAATATTTTTTTAAAGGCACAAATATAAAGACCGAGATTCTAAAACTTTTGTTATATTTTGAATTGAGATTTTATAAATATAGAGACCGAGATTTTAATGTTGTTCGTTGTTTCTAAGAAAAAAATAAAAATATACACACTTAATAAATCTTAACTGGATTTTTTAAATAAAAAAAATGAACTAAAGCACGAAATTTAAGGCAACATTTAATGTTGTATGATTTTTAAAGAAAAAAATAATAAAACTTACTATTTATAGGCTGCATTAAATTCTGACCTATTTTTTTGCTACTATTTTTAGTAAATGGTAATTCTTATTATATATATATAGATTTAATGTTGTATGATTTTTAAAGAAAAAAATAATAAAACTTACTATTTATAGGCTGCATTAAATTCTGACCTATTTTTTTGCTACTATTTTTAGTAAATGGTAATTCTTATTATATATATATAGATTAGTCGATTAATCACCTTCTAGTTAATTAGCGACTTTCAGAACCGAAAGGGGAGAAGTCGTAGACCTAGGCTCGCATGAGGTAGATGATTTCGTAGTTGAATAATCTATGGGTTGAGATTGAAATACGTGCTTGTCGATGACCCGTCCCTTGTTACGAAAAGTTATTGGGATTGGGACAATTGGCCTGTGTTGTATGCTCGAGCTTGTTCGTCTATGTTCAATTCCTTGTTACGAAAAGTTATTGGGAGCGAACCGCTAGATGTTTAAGCGAGAGTGTCAATCTCGAACCGAACAATTGATTGCCCGACTTTGCTAGAACTTGAATTAATTATCCCCGACTCCCTAGCTTCTTTATCTTTGTTAGTTTATATTCTTGGTAGATTATTGCTTTTATTATTTCTTAGTTTATAATCATCCATACTGCTATCTGATTAGAGTGTTTAGGATTTATTTTCTTTTTCTGTGCAATCAATACCAAAGTTAAATTCCGAACAGCCTTCCTCGAGAGATCGACCCGGGGAACGAATCTTTCGATTCGGTACTCGGTAAAAATAATAATTTGTGCTACAACAATATAAATTATAAAAGCCATATATTATGAGAAAATTACACCTAGAACGAACTTCTCACAAAATATTTGCAGATATACTTCCATAATATTTTATTAACAAAATTAGAAATCTATCATAAATATTTGCACATCTATGGGGTTTATTAATTTACATCTCTTTCTCTTTTCTCTCACTTTTCCTTCCCCCGATTTCTTCCCCCTTTTCTTTTTTCTTCAGATATTTGCCTTCGTTCCAATAGATTATCTCCCCTAAAATCACCCACTATTTTTTGCCAAAATCGTCCGCCACCACCTCTAATTTCGATTACCCGCTTGTCAAGGATTGGAAAATTGAGGGTTGACAGGCGGGCGGCGCTGCTGCAATCAGCAACCTCTTCCGCGCCGGCGACGATGGGGAAAGCAATGTTGGTGGTGGACGCCACTGAATCCACAGAAAAACGGTGTCAACGTTTAGATCCAACATCTCAGCCTCTTTCCGGTGCGTGTTTTCGCGAGATTGAAAAGAGAACCGCCGTCTATACGTATTTATATATCTATATGTGTGTGTGCAGCCAGGCAGTTGTCCATTTTAGACCACACAAAGAAGATGAAAACTCTCTCTCTCTATATGTGTGTGAGTGTGTGAGAGAGTGTAGTGTATGTATATATCGAGGTCGAATCGAATTTTTGAGAATGAGACGGTATATATGATGCATATACGTAGTATATTTATACTTTTTTTTGTTGTTTATGTAGTTGCATGTATATATATTGTATATTTTTCGTATATATATTGTTTATATTTTTTCGTATGCACACAGTTTGAATTTTTATACGAAAGATTTGAATTGAAAATCATAAGGATCGGCATTATCCTAGGTATATATATTGTATGTTTTTCGTATATATACGGCTTATATTCTGTATATCTTTTTTGTATATGTTTTGTTCTCCACCATCTCGTTGCTTAGAAAATGATCCTAGCTATATATATTGTATATTTTTCGTATATATACTGTTTATATTCTGTATATTTTCTGTGTATCTGCTGCTCGTGATGGGACGACGTTGCTCGTAATGGACGACGCTGCTCGTGATTGTTTAGTTCAGACTTTTCTTCTTCTTCTTTTTTTAATTAATAAAAGAATCTCGTCAGTTACGGGATTCTTGGATGACAACTCTTTATTTTTTGTTTGGCAGTTATATTGTAGTTATCCAAATAATTATGTTAACCTAGACATACTTGCAAATAAGTTTTTATTTTTATATTTATGCAATTATTTTAAAATGCTCAACACTGCAAATTACCCATATATTATCCCAGCCCCTTTTTTTAACTTTTTAGGCCCGTTATGCTTTTTTGGCCCATTATATTAAAAGGCAACGAAATAAACTCACCACCACGAGGCACAAGGCACATGGCTATGATTTGCTGAAATTAGAAATGCGATTTGCTGAATTGTAACTAATGAATTAAATATTTTTTTTTAATTTCTCCATTTTATCGGATAACCAATAATCGAACCGTTCCAACCAATAAATTTTCAATTAAAAATCGAACTGAACCATAAAATTCGGTTCGGTTTGAAGGTTGGATAAACTAAAATTTCGATTAACCGAAATTTCGATTGGTTTGATTCGGTTTCGACCGATTGAACAACCTTAGTCCAACTCAAAGTTCAATTGCCAATTGCTAAGGCCCAAGACGCAAGACCTAAGTCCCAGGCCTGTGCCCGAGCCCGAGCCCGAGCCGAGCATGCCCGCGGGCTAGCGCGCACACTTGTGTAGCCAATACCATCACCAACACTTGGTGCACAACTTTGTTGTTGTTGTGACATCCTTAACTCTCTTTATAATAATAATAACAAGAGTTAATCTTAAATTCCAATATAGGATATGACTTTTGACCGTTCGCATCCGCAACCATCTGTTTACGTGTCCATTTATGGCTAATTTTAATAATTTATTTCTCAATCACCAAAAATCAGTGTTGAGAAAATAAATATATCACAGTATCTACTCGAAACGTAGAATTTTTTTTACACAAATTAATTTAACTCGAATTAAATATCTAGTCATAAAAAAATCAGTCAATATAGGGTAAAACACAAATTTTTCATAACTGATTTTTCAAAAAATATCCTTACGGTAAGAAAAATAAATTGTCGTGACCGGTAATACGCGCTGGATACAGATGGATAATACAGTTAGAAACAAAAACAGGCAAAATAAAAATTCAAAACATATTGATGATGAAGCCTTGCATGGGACTTGACAACTAGCAAATTTTGGCATATTATATTTCCCATATGTTCACTTCACGTGACTGATGGGAGTGTCCCCCAATCCCTCTCCATTTTCTATATAACAAACACACTCAACTCACCACTCCTTTGTACCTGCAATTGAGTGAGAGCTATGGATTACTATTCCAAAATGCTACCCATTCTCCTCCTCATAATTCCCATCTTATTCTCCCCTTCCTCTGCCACAGATCCCATTCTCCAAACTGACTGTGGCTATTGTTCCCATCCACATCCTAACCACCCCAAACATCCCGTGCCACCCGTCACAGTTCATCCTAAATTGCCCGTGCCACCCGTGGCATTGCCCAAACTGCCAGTCCCGCCAGTCACAGTTCCTAAATTGCCCGTGCCACCAGTTAGCGTGCCCAAACTCCCTGTACCGCCTGTCACAACTGATCCTAAACTGCCTGTCCCGCCAGTCACAGTGCCTAAGCTGCCTCACCCTCCAGTAACAGTACCTAAGCTGCCATTGCCCAAACTGCCAGTCCCACCAGTCACAGTTCCTAAACTGCCCGTGCCGCCAGTTAGCGTGCCGAAACTCCCAGTGCCGCCAGTCACCGTTGATCCTAAACTGCCTGTCCCGCCAGTCACAGTGCCTAAGTTGCCTCACCCACCAGTCACAATACCTAAGCTGCCTTTGCCGAAACTACCTGTCCCACCAGTCACTACTGTGCCAAAGCTACCAATCCCGCCATCCACAGTACCTAACCTACCTTTGCCGAAACTGCCTGTCCCACCAGTCACTACTGTACCAAAACTACCCATCCCGCCAGTCACAGTGCCCAAGCTGCCTGTCCCACCAGTCACTGTACCGAAACTGCCAGTCCCGCCAGTCACAGTGCCTAAAAAATGCCCACCACCTCCGGCATCCAAGGGCAGCTGCCCCATTGACACACTGAAATTGGGGGCATGTGTGGATCTTCTTGGTGGGCTTGTCCACATTGGGCTGGGTGACCCGGCAGTGAATGAGTGCTGCCCAATATTATCTGGGCTGGTCGAGTTGGAGGCCGCGGCCTGCTTGTGCACCACGCTCAAACTCAAAGCACTCAATCTCAAAATATATCTCCCCATTGCTCTGCAACTCCTTGTCACCTGTGGCAAAACTCCACCGCCTGGCTACACTTGCTCTCTCTAGGATGGATTATTCAAGTTAAGTTAATTACATCTACGAATATATATTCCTGCTGCTTTAATTTCCTTTTTAATCCTCACTGCTTAATTATCCCTTCATTTTTATTTAATGATTCGAATTTTAAAGCTCAAATCACTACTTCTCTGTTTGCACTTAGTATTGTCTTTATAATATTTAGGTTTCTTTCTGCATCTCTCTTATGAATATCTCACCATTTTTTGAGATAATTAAAAGGACCGGGCTAGTGGGTTTTAGAGATGTTTTTTATTTAATTAATAAAAAAAATATTTTAATTGGAGATCTTTGTAATTGTGTATTCTCAATATGTAATTTTTTGTCTATCATTTCAAAATTTATTTTTAATTGGTAAGCATTTAACATAGATATGTGTATGTATATACATAAAAGTTAAATATTTGTTGGAATATTATGTTGATTTATTCATTACAAAATTATTATTACAATATATAATTCCGAAAAAAAGGAATAATGTGTTAATTCATGCACATCAATAAAATGCTGTCGTTTAAAGATTTTATTTTATTTACAAACTAAATTTTGGTTTAAAAATATTACCAAATTTTCTAACTTTCACATTAAGAATGAAACAAAATCATGGTAATGAACTATTAATAAAAGAGGAGATAAAACATTTAATTAGGACCATTAAATGATTTGTTAATTTTCAGTTAAATAATTAAGAACCATACATATTTTAAAATGAATGAATTGTGCATATAATTATATTTTAAACTGTTGTATATTATGAAAATAAATTTAAAATATTAATAATAAATCACTTTTAATATATTATTTTTAAATTTATCGACATTCACTTACCCACATGATTTAATCATTTTCTTACTGCTACCTCATATATCACACCGGCGACCTACTCGTTTTATCATTTTCTTACTGCTACATCATATATCATACCGGTGACCTACTCGTTTTTCTAAGAGTGCTATTGTTTATTTATTTTTTATTCTTTTTTTCTTTTCTTTTTCAGATACTTGATGCCAACGATGTTGGTGAATATTTATTTCTACTATTGAGCCATAATCTTGGAAATCTGTATGATTTAGGAAGTGAACTAAGTTTGTTAAAGTAACTTTGGTGTTGATTTTTTTTAATTTTAAATAAGATTAACTTTTACAAAAATAGTAACGTCAAGAGTACATGTAACTTGATAAATATTACTCTGTAAAATCTACAAAAGTTTAATTTGTTGTATATAGCTGATTGTAATTTATACTTTTCAATTTATGCAGGCTCGCGAAAGAAAGATGAATCCAGCAACTTCAAATCGACATGAGAGGATGTCGAGATTCATCTAATTAAGCTTCATATATATAATATTCATTCCTTGGGAGTTAAACTATTTCCTTCTTCACATCAATTATTCGACTTTTATTCATATTTGAACTCCATTAATTTAATGTGTGAAATTGTTCATTGTGTGTGTTGTTTGGGGTAGAGTTAAGGAAGCAATTATTAAATTTGTGCTTATTTCAATGCTTCAATTTAACTCAATTAACTGTTTAATTTTTCAAACAATCATAATCTTTATTTAAAAAATATATATAAAAAACTATTATCACGGGAATTACATAACCAAGTGATAGAAGTTAGACACAAACTAGAACACAACGCCAATACTAGAAAACAAAAACAAAACTATTTATTCATCACGGATGGACAGAACATGATTTAATCAGTCACTTGTGAAACATAAATAATTCGTTCACAACCTAGATGGAAATGAACAAACCATCGAAACAGTTGTAGTGTCAACTGTAAAGTTGTTACACTTGTGTATTGAACGGATCCTAGAAAAGAGCAGTTCGTTTTATGTTGATCGTCGTAAACTAACTAGGTCTCGATTAATTATTTCGTTCTCTTAACCCGTAAGATATAAACAAGCGCATGTATGTAGTACAAAATGCTTTGATTCACCAAACGGTGAGGTTCATTCTGTTTGGGTCAATAATCTTAGCGAGTTGGATAGTGATATTACATGCATATGTGTTGTTCGAATACTTACAGTCACCATGTGCGTCAGTCTTATGATGTCTCCGAAGTGAGTTTATGAAGGATTATTATGTTAAACCCTGCATGTAGATTAAGCTCCAACATATTAATAATGATTTGAGTGGTACTGGTTTCGGTTCAAGATGTCGATTAATTTGATTGTCAGTAATTAAATTAATTGATGGATATTATATCTTAAACGTTGGGAGATAATTCGACTAATTATAATTGGAGCCTCGAAAGTAAATCGGGGATAATGAGGGAGTGCAATAATATTTTGTTAGTGGATCGAAGTATTATTTAAGTCATTGAGCGGACTGGGCTCGATCCACAGTTAGACCCAAGACTTAAGAAGCCCATGTTATCATCTCCTTAGGGTCCCTGCTGTCGCCCTATATCAAGACCATTATCTCTTGGGATGGGGCGACACATAACGTGCAATATACACGCTAGTGAGTCGGCCCTAGTTCCCAATCGAGATTCTCTCCAAGCTTGTTGCCCACGAAGACAACCGGAGAGGTGGCGAGTAATACAACAGAAGGCTCTAAAGTTTACAAGGCCCCAGTGACCACCGCGACCACCGCTGCCCGTAGCCGAGCCACACCGCATGTCCACACCCGGATACCCACTCGCCCACGCACCCTCCGCTGAGACACGACCGCCCAACCCCCAACAGTCATGACGCACACAACCAGCCCGATCGTATGTCCGCACCGCGATTAGAGCGCCCGAACGCTGCAGACCGCGCGACAGCCGAACGACAAGCTGAGATCTCGTCCGACCAGCGCGACTACCACCGTGACTCCGGTATTTTAACCAGGTGATTTTTTTGGCAAGTGGAATCAATTGATCTTCATCAACAAAAATCTACAACGTCTGATAGTCTGCAAAATTTTAAGCCTTACGTATTCTACGTAAAACCTTAGGTCCGCTGTGCATAGTTTTAAATTGTAGAATTTAATTTGTGACATGCCCATAGCGCTGATCTTTATCGGTCCCGTCAAGTGGTATCAGAACTCACAGTTAACTTGCTTTGTTTAAAGTTTGAACTTTTCGACTTATGTGACAACATGTGTTCAAGCACAACTATAAAATAAATTATACATGCATAACTCGGTTTTGTAGGAGTAGTTTAATCCACTTTTATAGACGTGTGTGCTTTAATTATTTGTTGCTTATTTTTAAAGCCTCAGACATGTTGAGGATTTTGGGTTGAATGTTTGTAGTAAATTTATTTGCCCGGTGGGATACCAGATAGATTTATTGCTTTCCTAGACAAACATGTTGTAGCGCCCCGTTCGTTTATTAGAATTTCTGGATTTTTATATTATTATTTATTTGCTTATATTGAATATTTGCCTTATTTTATTTAATTGCTCGTCTTATTTGTCTACTTGATATAAAAATTGTTATGTGACTAATATATGTGATTATTATATGTTTATATATTATTTATGTGTATTAGAATTATTAGAATTTATTCGTTTCGGTAAATTTTCAGTTCAATCGCGTAGAACCGTTTCTAATCCATTTCGATCTATTTTTGAGGTTTTTGCCTGAGCCTTAGAATTTATTATTTTCGGCTCAACTCTTCTTATCAAATCTGGCCCATTTCGATTTATCTTTCGGCCCATGTTTGTGTTTATTTTGACCCATAGTACATTCCGGCCCAAGACATGTTATGTTCTCCATTTTGTTTGAATTTCAAACTCAAGAAGGCTTATTTTGATAAGATTGTCTAGCCTATAATTCCTCATTTTGACTGGCCATTAAGTGCCATTTGATACCATTTAACTCTCCCAATTAAAGGATGATTTACATAAAGTGATAGCCTTAATATTTCCTCCTTATTTTTCTCCCTTACCTGATAAGTTTTCACAAATCTTTCTTCTCCTCAAAGCTCTCGAAAATCCTCCCTTCACCCTCTCTTAGGGTCACCTTTTTTATCCAGCGAATACCCCTCTTTCCCAGCATTGAGTCCGAACAGCCGCAAACCCTTTCTTGAGAGGATCACTGTTCGTTGTGAAGTCACAACCGAGGAGTTGTCGCTGCCGAGCTCACCATGAACCAGCCGCCTTCAACGTCGAACACCCGCAACAGCGTCCCCGCACCCGGAGTGCCGAGTCCGCCGAGCCAGCACCCCGTGACCGCACCGTGTCGCCTTTCCCCCCTCGCTGTTTGGTAGTCTACTAAACTCCATTAATTATTATGTGTTTCAAGTGTTGTTCATGACATCTTAAGAGCTATTCATAATTGATTATGTGATACTATGTTTTATTTGATATCAAAATGTTGTTATATTGTGTTATTAATATATTCATGTATTGGATCTTTAGGGTTTAAAGTGAAACCTGTATGATATGATGTTTACTCGTGGAAATCTTGTGGATTCTGGAACATATGAGTGTCCTTGTGATGCTGGTTTTGACCTTGTATCAATTGGAAGTCTAGATATTGAGTTATGAATTTTTGAACTTGATGTTGTTGTAGTTGTCTAGATTTTATTAAATTCATTTTGATGGATTTTTTATGAAATCATGATTTCTGCTAAATCTTGCAATAATTGTTATAAATCGTGTGTTCATTGTTTTCAACTGGAAATTTCATATGTTAGACTCGCATGCTGAAGTTGTTGGTGTTAAAATTTTAGGACTCAAATCATTCGTTAGGTCAGGTTTTAAATTCATGCTTATTTTTGTTGTAATATTGTTTTAATTTTATAAAATCACATGTGTAAATGCTATGGCTGAAACTTGGTGGTTTTAATGTATTCAGTGAGGTCTTTCATGTGTCTAAATTTCGAAACAAATTCATCTATTTGCCTGTTCAACTAGAAAATGTGGTTTACTTGTCAATTTGCTCAAAATATTGATTGAATAGGTTAACTTTTGAATTTTGGCATGATTTTTAACATATGATGTCCTCTTTGCATGTGTTATAAGGGGTGTGAATTTCATCTTAAGTGGATGAATATATTATGAGATGGCTTTTTGTGTGCCTTTTCCTTTCTGTTTGAAGTCGAGTCGAATGTTCCATAACTCCACGAAAATTTTCCACGAGCCACTTAGTCGAAGAATTCGACTAAGTTTGTGTGTTCGTTGGACTTGTTGTAATCGAGAGGTTATCTTGATTTCGTGTAGGTGTTCCGAGGTGTTGACCTCCAACCCTATCCTTTCGAGCTTTGTTTGTGAATTATCGTTGCCTTCAGGTGGGTACATTTACTTGTATCTATAATTATCGCACTCGTTATTTCGTATAAATGTTCTTCTCGATAGCTATTGTATACGTGAGAACCCTAGTCTAGGTGTCCCAATGATAGTGCCTTTGATGAATGCATAAACAGTGAGAGGTCGCCTGCCCGTTGCTATTCGGGAGGTGGACGCCCTGATCCGTGTGTTATTCGGGGGGGGGTCTCCTGGAAAGGATCCCATGATCCGTGTGTTATTCGGGATGGGAAGGTTTCCAGTTACATCCTTGCCGATGTCTGGTCGGAAGGTTTGTTGTATGTACTTAGGAGGTTTGCGATAGGGCCGAGTAAAGAGTTAGACCTGGATTCTATGCATACTTTAATTAGGGTTTTGAATCTTTATGCGGAATATACTGTGCGATAATGGTGAGCATAATGGTTTGCTCACCCCCATTCTTTTCTCCTTGCCTTCTCTTCCTTTCTTCAGGTTGAGCATGGCTGGCAGCGGCGGCGTGAAGACGATCGAGTGGTGGTCATTTGTCGATTGTGTTCTCGTTATCTTATGCTTCCGCCTATTTATGATTTTATTGAACTGTTGCTATTGACTTTGATTATTTCCTGCTTTGATTTGGATACATTGATATTGTCGGGTTGAACTTTTGGAATTATGTTTTACTGTCTTCTGGAAAGGATCCCATGATCCGTGTGTTATTCGAGATGGGAAGGTTTCCAGTTACATCCTTGCCGATGTCTGGTCGGAAGGTTTGTTGTATGTACTTAGGAGGTTTGCGATAGGGCCGAGTAGGGAGTTAGACCTGGATTCTATGCATACTTTAATTAGGGTTTTGAATCTTTATGCGGGATATACTGTGCGATAATGGTCAGCATAATGGTTTGCTCACCCCCATTCTTTTCTCCTTGCCTTCTCTTCCTATCTTCAGGTTGAGCATGGCTGGCAGCGGCAGCGTGAAGACGATCGAGTAGTGGTCATTTGTCGATTGTGTTCTCGTTATCTTATGCTTCCGCCTATTTATGATTTTATTGAACTGTTGCTTTTGACTTTGATTATTTCCTGCTTTGATTTGGATACATTGATATTGCCGGGTTGAACTTTTGGAATTATGTTTTACTTTCTGGTTGGTTTTCAAACCTAATAAATAAATTGGTGTAAATTTATATGAGTATGAGTTTATGCATGTATAAGTCAAATCTATGTGTTCGTACTTTGTTTAATTGTTTTTGGTAGATAAGTAGCGCCCGTTGAGAATTAAATTTTAATTTGAGATTTTGCGAAAATTTTACTCTGATTTTCATAAAAAAATTTGGTAAAGCCTTTGAAAT